TGCCCGGGTCAATGACATGGCAGAGGGTCTGTGACTGGCGGCGCCTCGGCACGCGGGGTGGACTTCGGAGCCGCTCAGGCTCCCTAGGGGGGGTGCACTCGAGGCCACAGGTGCTGGTTTCCCTGGAAAAGCCACCTGGTTTCCAGGCCAGAGAGGAGACGCAAACACAAGGCTCCTCTCTGCCCCTTTTCAAAAGGGAGAAAGCCTGCACCTCAATAGCGGTGTCTACACTGAGTCCCACCATTGTCCACTGCGGTGAGAACCTGAGCCTGCGGGGACAGGCAGCGTCTCTGTGCACCTGGCTGTCCCCACAGTGGTCCCTTTGTGGTTCGGGGAAGGCAGCGGGCCTCCCGCCAGTCTCCTGGACAGCGCAGGCCCATCTGGATGCTCCCCAGACTCAGGTTTGGGAGGTCCAGTCGGCGGAGGAAGGTGACGCCAGGACAGGGGGAGGGCGCGTGGCGGTGCGGCAGCCCTGCCCCCCGTCCTGCACGCCGGACCTCAGCGCAGCCCCTGCATGGCCCCGCACGCTCCCCGGAAAGGTGTCTGGAGTCTCAGGACAGGTTGTCGTGAGCCGACTCCAGGTGGGGATTCACGCGGGGCCTACTGGGCACGGCTCCAGGGGAGACTGGGGGGTGGACGCGGAAGTGCCCGGGGGCACCGCCTCTGAGCCTCTCGTGGGGACGACAGCCCGGCCTGAGCACGTGTCTTGGGCAGTGGTCCGTGGCCGTGCTCGGGACACCAACTCTCAGCAGTCCTGGCTCCTCCTGGGCCAGTCCTCGGACACAGGCTCGGGGGCTGTGAGTGGGTTCCAGGGCTCTGCGGGGCAGTGACCGCGTCCACCCCTTCTGGGTCCTCCCCAGACCCCTCTAGCCGGGAATGGAATGGTCCTTGAAATTCTTGTGTCACCTACCAAGGAGCATGTGAATGATCGAAAGAGCTTAGTAGTGATGAGGGCAGGGTGCTTGCGAAACGTGTGGTGGAGACACCCTGGGGCCCCAAAGTGGGCTGGGAAACAGCCTTCTGCAGGGTAAGGGTGCTCAGGGCTTGCGCAGCAGAGAGGTTTCGGAACGACACCTGGTGATGACCAGCACCCCCGAAGTGTGTTCCAGGGTTAATGGGCCTCAAGGTCACATACATTTGGGTCACGCTGGGTTTAAACTGGTTTTTCCCTCTTGCGTGACTTGGGAGTGTTCACGCGGTCTGGTGGGTGCTCACGGTCTGTCCACCAGAGGGCGCAGGCCCCACGGCCCCTCCGAAGCAGGGTGGGTGCACCATGCCCGTCCCCCCAAGCACACCTTGGGAGACCTTGATGGAGAGCCCCTTCCCCCACAGCCTCCTCATTCTTTCTGAGTAACCGTTCATATATCCATATATCGGTTAACCAGAGATATCCCCTATTCTGTTTTACCAAGAACTAGAAAAATCTTTTTTACTGGCATCGCTGTCCGATTACATTTACAAAAACATCGGAGTGCCAACAGCTAACGCCTGGTCCTGTGTTGGGCACCAGGCGGAAAGAGCCAACGTAGCGTCCTTCACAGAAATCTGCAACGTATCAGCCCCACTGGCTACAGAATTATAGAGCTGAGATGCTCTGGAGGCCCTTGAGTTCAATTACTTCACTTGAGAGGCAGGGAAGCCAAGAGCCAGAGAAGTTAAGGAGTTTGCTTGAGGCCACACACCCAAGTGATGAACGGTGGCACCAACGGGGACCCGAATCCAACCTGCCGGGATGATCTCCGTTAGGGGGACGCAAGCCGTACACGGCGCGGAGTCTGCTTCGGGTCCTGTCCCCCCCCCCCCCCCCCCCCCCGCCTTTCCGCCACCCATTCTTGCTCTCTCTCCCAAAATAAATATAAACCTAAAACAAAGGTAAAAAGAAAAATGTTCATTGGGAGAAGGTCACACGGGTTTGAAGGCAGAGAGAATAACGTAATGGCCTCCCCCCAGGCATCGCGAGCGAGCGTGAACACACGCCGGCCGTCTCATCTGGGCTGCGCCCTCGCCCGTCTGTTCAGGTCGCTGGTGTTTGCTGACGTATGAAGGTAAACCCGAGCGGTCACGTCGCCCCCGCTCCGTATCTTCACCCACATCTGCTCGTCTGCACCAAGGACATCTCCTTCGATGACCACAACACCAGCACTGGAACAAAGTAAGCTGATGAAATGGGTTCTTTGGTGCCGCTGAGCATCCGGCCCACGTTCCAATCTCCCGAGTAGTACCGGGAATGCCTTCTTGCGAGGGTCACGTGAATAAGGATCTAGGCCAGAGCTGGCTGGTGACGCCGGGCCTGACCTCCAGCGGCACCTGTAACGCAGACGCCCACCACCGCGCGGGCTGCCCAGCGCCGGGCTCTCTTCTCTAGGCGCTACAGGCCAGGGGGAGAGGGGCGGTGTGCGCATGCTCTCTCCACCCTGACTCGGAAGCAGATGGTCCGACTGGGACCCTGGCTCTGCCAATCAGGTAGCTTGTTCGCTAGCCAGCTAGTGACCCTCTAGTGCAGCCTGATCGTCAGGACCCCCACTCCGTCCGCCAAACGGGAAATAGTACGAGCTCGCGGAGGTGAGTGAGTGCAGGGCAGACGGACGGGGGGCTGGCACCTGGGGACTCGGGACCCCGCCGGCTTTAGAGACGCGACCCCACGGAGGGCGGCAGGAACCACGTCCTCCACGGTGTCCCGCCGGGGCTCACGTACCCCTGGGATGGCAACAAGAGACACGTGTCTCCTCCCAGAGGCCGAGTGACAGCGTGGCGTTTGAAGTTCCACCTTCAGATGCCCAGACCTGTGTTCTCTTCCCTCTGCCTGAGGTTACTCGCCGGTCACCGTGAGCGGCACGGCACTGAGCCGGGACGGGAGAACGTGTAGGTTTAGGATAAGAAGCCTCGTTTCTTGTGGAAACCGGCTGCTCCCTCCCACGGGTGAGGTCGCGGGGCCCTGCTGCGTCGGCAGCCGCCTTCCTCGTGCTCCCCGGGCGCCCGGCGCAGGGCCGGCGCGTCACCCACCCGGAGCTGCGGGACAGCCTGCTGGCGGCACGCTCTAGCTCCACCTGCTGGCCGCCTTGGGACACCCGCCTGTTCCCAAAGCGTGGAGGGACTGTCCAAACTCTCAATGGGTTCTGGGCCAGCAACAAAGCCTACTTCTCCCCACCACGAAACACAATGCCTCCGCTGAGGGTTTTAGGGACAGGAAACCACTTGGCCTGGCACGAAGGTCGCTTTGCTCCACTTTGAGAGGCACCGCTGCTCCTCGGCAGCGTCTGGGGGTAAGCGGGGGAGGGGGTATTCACCTTTGACGTCCTCCCACCTGCCTCACTGTGTCACTAAGCATTAACTGCCCGCTGCAGCAGGCAGCCCACCCACGGTCCCAAACCCCACTCTGCAGCAGTGGTGCGGGCAGCGGGCTCCCGGTGGATCACGTGCACCTTTGGCAAAACACTCATTTACCCAGATGAGAACTAAAGGACCCACAGGTGGTAACGGGGTGTGGGGGGGGGGGGAGTGCGCCCCTGGGGCCGGCGCTGCAGCCCTGGTCAGCTCCGGGGCTGGTTCCCCGGGTCCCGTGCCTCTCCCTCCCTGGGCAAGTGCAGATTCAGAGTCCCAGCCCCAGCCCCGGCAAGGTGACCTCTGGCTCTCACTGCCTCAAAACGGGGCTGGGGCTCCACCTCGTTTGCTTCTTCTGACCGCATGAGCTAAGCTGCACAGCACAGGGCTGGCGTCTGGGGGCCCCACCGGGGGCGCGGGGGAGCGCTGAGGGTAAGGGCCCCGTGGGTGCGGTTCTTTGCATTAGAGCTTTTCAAAACGTGGTCCCCGGGGCAGCAGCACCTCTGGGCAGATGATGAGAAGTTCAAGTTCTCAGGCTCCTGCCCAGACCAACGGGATCAGGAACACCGGGGTCTCCTCCCAGTTCTGGTCCTGACCCTGGCCCCAGCGCGGATACCACTGTGAGGTGGGCAGCGACGCTGAGGGCAGGCGTCATCCCCATCTATACATAGGAGAAATCTAGCTGGGAATCCCTGCAGCAAGTGGCAGTCACTTGTCAGGCGCCGAACGTGGCCAGACCTGACCCTATGTGCTGGAGACACACGCGAAACCCGGGACGGTCTCTGTCCTTATGAGGAAAGACCGCTGGCGACCGGACCTGGGCCACTGTCTCTATTCCACAGCGAGACCCCTGCTGGCCTGCAGAGCACCACATTTCAAATTAGACCCCTCTACCCTTACTGCTTTAGAATCCTTTATAAAAGTGTCATTCTGGGGGGCACCTGGCTGTCTGACTCTTGATTTTGGCTCAGGTCATGATCCCAGTGCCATGGGATTGAGCCTCTCGTCCGGCTGTGCTGAACATGGAGCCTGCTTATGATTCTCTCTCCCCCTCTGCCCATCTCCCCAGCTTGTGCTCTCAAAAAAAAAGAGAAAAAGGCACAATTCTCGCAGTTTGGTGACTGCCTTAAATGGAGACAAATAGCATGCAATATTTATTTGATATTAGCCAAACTGGGAGAAATTATCAGTCAGTCAGGCAGAGCCCGACACGGGGCTTGATCCCAGGACCCTGAGCTGGAATCATGTCAGTTTTTAAGTACTATGTACTTTGCCTTACCAGGGACTTCCTGATAAAGTCTCTCAGAGCTTATACTTTTCACCCACTACAAGATCTCCTACTTTAATTGTACAGTGTTTTACAGTTGTCTTTTTTTTTTTTTTTTTTGAGAGGGTGAGCAAGTGCACCTGCAAGCGAACGAGGGGAGAGAGAGTGGGGCAGGGGAGGGGAGGGGAGAGAGAAGCGGGGCTGGAGCTCACGAATTGTGAGATCACGACCTGAGCTGAGGTTGAATGCCTAAGGACCAAGCCCCCCAGGCGCTGGCACTTTACAGTGTCACTAATGCCCCCCCCCCCCCCCCCCGCCGCCGTCTTCGCGGATCCGTTGGAACTGACGTACGGTCCCCAAAGGGGAAAACACAGGCTCGGCGAGGTCACGAGAGTTAAGTGGCAGAATCATATGTTTCACAACTGTTTACTGGACATCACAGGGGTGAGGGCCTCGGCCTAACCCCGACTCCTGTGGCGATCGAGGACGGGACGGCTCACCGGGGAGGCGGACAAGGGGACACGGGCACAGGCGCACCTCACAGTTCCATTTATTCACGCCACAAAGGAAACAACACGTCTACACGCGTACGGCGGTGCTCCACGCGCCCATCTAACAGAGCTGCCGGGATTTACAGCCAGATGGTCAGTCTCACGTGTGCTCCGAGGAAAGCTGGCTAATGGTGACCGTGGGCGGGGGCAGGACTCGAAGCTTTTAAAAGAGAAGCACAGTGTGACTGTAAGTGAGGAAGAAAGGGACACACAGAAGATGGTCTATTCCGTACCTTACTGACAAGTCTGTAAATGGCAGTTTTCAACACTATGGACAAGTCTGGAGGGTCACTCCTACACGGAGTGTCTGACATGTTTACGGGTGCGTGTAATCAGTTCGTGCACACGGAACAAACCTGTGGCACAGGACAGAGGGGCAGGAAGTGTCTTCTCCCCAGAGGTCACGAGCCAGCCCTGGGTTTGTGAGGACTCACATGACTGGTTTCACTGTCATTTGGGAAGTAGAGTGAAATGTCCAACACTTGGGCATAAACTTATGTGATGCTTTCTTTCAAAACACACCTCACAGGGCAGCGAGCTCGCAAGCTAACCTGTGCTTCCCTGCTGGCGGCACTGGCTACCTCTGGCTTTCCATTACCCCCAGAAGTCTTACTTGGTCCAAGGGGGTGGGCAGTGGTTTTTAACACTCCCGACTGTAAGAGGAACTTCATGTTTCAACGTGATCCCCCTGTACCTTATGTACTGATAAGCACATACCGCAGAACAGATACGCCTTGATCTGAAAAGGCACGATGGGGTTTTTAATTCCCCATCCATTTTAAGAAGCAAAAATCTTACCTTTCGAAGCTTTACTTCTTTTATCTGAAATAAAAAGAAAGAAAAATTGGTCGTATCAGTGTTTTAGAAACATGTTTTCAGTCAACCTAGTGTTGAAATCGATATTTGGCTGAAGAGCTCATAGCTTCAGTAAAGCTGTTTCAGAAAGCTTTCAGAAAATAGGGAGTTTCTATGGTGTCTCACAGCCAAGAAGCGGTACAATTTCCACCCAAGATGCTCCATGGACAGTTAAACAGCCCTTCAGCATCTGGAGGGCTTTGTACCCCCCACACCCCCCCCCCCCAAACCTCAGTCCTGTAGTTTAAACCAGTTGCTTGTTAATACATGACTGGGGCTCATCTCTGTTCCACTGGGGACCAAATGGTCACCTCGTCTCAGTTTCTATTATGAAAACAGTTCAAACATTCACAACAGTGGAAAAGGTACAGTAAAGCACGATACGCCACGACACTCCACCCCTATTTCAGTCCGCATCTTAAAACTAAGGACATCTCCTATGTGTTTGAAGTACCACCGTGACACCTAAGAAAACTCACAATTCCCTGTTATCAAGGTTTGTTCAGATTTTCTCAGTTGTCCCCAAATGTCTCTTACAGCTGACATGTACGCTTCATGTTTTTTTAAGTTTATTTATTTTGAAGAGAGAGAGCGTGCTGCAGAGAGAGAGAGACAGAATGACAATGTCCCGAGTAGGCTCTGCTGTGCTGACAGCAGAGAGGCCAATTCAGGGCTTGAGCTCATGAACTGTGAGATCATGAACTGAGCCAAAGTCGGACGCTTAACCGACTGAGCCCTCCAGCCCCCCCTACTCTTCACGTTTTAAGTTTTTTAAAACATTTTTATTTATTTTTGAGACAGAGCATGAACAGGGGAGGGTCAGAGAGAGAGGGAGACACAGAATCTGAAACAGGCTTCAGGCTCTGAGCCATCAGCACAGAGCCTGACGCGGGGCTTGAACTCACGAACCGCAAGATCATGACCTGAGCCGAAGTCGGATGCTCAACCGACTGAGACCCCCAGGTGCCCCTACTCCTCATGTTTTTTTTAAAAAAAAATTTTTTTTTTCAACGTTTTTTATTTTTGGGACAGAGACAGAGCATGAACGGGGGAGGGGCAGAGAGAGAGGGAGACACAGAATCTGAAACAGGCTTCAGGCTCTGAGCCATCAGCACAGAGCCTGACGCAGGGCTTGAACTCACGAACCGCAAGATCATGACCTGAGCCAAAGTCGGATGCTCAACCGACTGAGACCCCCAGGTGCCCCTACTCCTCATGTTTTAACAAAGGGCTCTGATGCTCACTTCTGGGTAAGAACCATAGTTCCTTCACATGAATCGTGATTCCCTTTAAAAAGAATTTTCATCCTGACTGCTAAAGAGTGAACATACAGAAACTTACCAGCAGCCCTGATTTTATAAATGATGGAGCCCATCAGCCCCATTCCTACCCAAATCTCCTGGTAAACTTGGGTATAGTAGGGCCTCATGGGGACCCAAACATTCTTAATAAGGCTTTGAAGCATCTGAAAAGAAGCACAGAGATAAATGTTACCATGATCGTCATTTTAAAGCTAACTGGTTAAGGGGGTCCCACGTATTCCTGAACTTGACCCCGTTTCCTATAACTCCCGCACAGGGGCCATTCCTACCCCGCATGGGGCCCCCGCTCGGCAGCTCTTGGAGCTCTACTCCCCACTTCGGGGCTGTCAGCCGAGGCCACCCTGGTGCTCTGCCACCCCTCGCTCCTGAGTCCCCAGACCGTGCCACCCTGCACAGCCCATGTCCCCTCTCCGACAGCTACTCTCCATGAACGCTGTGCCCAAAATCACACACCACTTTCTTTTAACCCTTAAATAGAAAAACTTGTGTGTCTGCATCATCACGTTAAGAACTGCTGGCATTCAGAGCTGAAAAAGAACAGAGGTCCTAATGAGACCCACACCCAGCGTGGGCACATGCCGATCAGCTCCCAGAACCTCCTGTTTTTAAAAATTTCAGCCCTAGTGAGGTATAAGTGACTTCTAAAACTGTGACATACACATTTTAATTTTTGTTTTAAGCAGTCTCCACCCTCAACATGGGGCCTGAACTCACGACCCCGGATCAAGTCCCATGCTCTACGGACAGAGCCAGCCAGGCGCCCTCCAACTGTAAGACATTCAGCATACACCGTGGTGGTGACTCGATAAACACCGTGAAAAGATTTCCCCCATCTAGTCAACGACCACATCCATCGTTTCACTTGTGTGTGTGTGTGTGTGTGAACTTTATGGGGCTATTGACCACAGTTACGATGTTTCACCTGTGTTTCAGCTTCGAAATCTGCCGCCAATTGCAAAGCAGACAGCGAAAGATGACGTGGTTACTTCCTAAGAGCTGCAATTATGACCGAACTTATTTAATGCATGAAAATATTTACCTCATCACTGGATTTGATGGAGAAAAGCCATCAGATGCTGAACTTAACAAAGTTTGCTTTTATGTGCAGGTCTCCAAGTAAGGCTTTTGATGACACAATTTACTACAGACTCTAAAACTTGATGCCCGTGTTTTCATTTAAGCTCTGTAACCTCTCAAGTGGTGTATTAAACTACAGTCCTTCAAAGCTTGTCAGGACTAACTAGATCCAAGCACTTTGCATTTTCCGCGAAAGCGCTCCTCCAGCCTCAATCAGTGAGGCTGCTGGTCCCCGCCCCGGCCAGAGCCCCGTCCATCGCTCCTTCACATCACTACTGGGGCCACGCAGAATTTCACTTCTCGGATTCAGTGTTCTCTGGTGTGATCGCGATTTCCTGAGCACGCACTAGGCAGCAGGCCTTGTCTGGGGGCTGAGAAGCTGGCTCCTCAGGAGTGCGAATACCTGGGAGAAAAGTGTCCTTGGCAGAGGCAGCGTGTCCGCCAAGACCCCAGGCCGGGATGGGCTTGCGGAAGGGGGAGGAAGGGAAGCCACCACAGCTGCCCACATCCCAATCCGGGCTCTGCCTCCTTCCTGCTCACTGCCCCGATTTCTTCCTCTGCAAAGTGGGGGTGAAAACACTGCCCACTCACCAAGGGCTCTCGTGAAGACAGGTTCCTCTGCATCAAGTGTTAACAGAGTCTGGTGTCCTGTACCGAGAGCTGTTACATAAAACGGCGTGGCTAGACCACGGGAGGGAAGAGGAGCTGGGTCGGTCATTTGGGGCCACGGAAGCTGTGGTGAGGAGTCCAGCTTTTACTCTAAGCGCGTCATGCAAACCTACCAGTGCTCACAAAGTACGTACACACTTACCTCTTGCACCACTCCCTAACCCCTACCAGATGACCCCTACCAGGTGGCTACTTAGAGGGAGTTGCCGGAGATCACCCAGCTGGATCTATGAATCACCCAAGCCCCCAGTCCTCATCACTAGGAGAATCTGCTCCAAGGACCGTCTTATTGAGGCTGAGGCATGGTCGTAAAGGTCAGCCAGCCCTGCCCCCTGACCCAGGTGTGACCCTGAAGGATGCGGTTGTGTCCTCCTCCTGGAACCCCTGCAGATATGTCTGTCCTCAGGCTGAGATGCTGTCAGAGCACGAGGATCCAAGAAAGCAACAACCCTGCTCTTGGAAGGTACCTGAGAAGACCCAGACGGGATCCAGAGGGGGCCTCTAAAACCCCCAGGTGGAAAGAGTTCAGGCCGACCAGCAGCATTCCCCTCCTCCCTGAGCCCAGCAGTAACTGGGAAGGAAGGTAATCCCAGCCCCCACTGCGGCTGGGTCCCAATCCCAGCTCCGTCTGCTCTGCTCCCAATCTTGGGGGCAAGTCCCCAAAGTTGTCCTTTCAGAAGGTTCTCCTGTGAAACAGGGATATGTCCACGAGCCCCATAGGGCTCTGGATGGCCTCCAAGGGGAACCATAAATGACCCGGCCTGATGTGGAAGGAGGACTCAGCACACGGTCACAACGGCGGCAGAAGGAAGTGCCACAAACATCCGGCCGATAGTAGTGCTAAGCTACTGGGATTCTAAGAAGGAGAACTGAAGGACCTGCCCTCACTTAGGCCAGATGAAGATCTAGATGGAAAACAGCAAAGTAAACTGAGAGCAAAGGAGGGGAGAAGGGGCTGAAGACACTTGAGTTGCCCTGATTTTCTGCACACCGTCCTGGTCCCCCGGCCCTCCTCACCTAAAATCATCTCGGACTGAGCAGTATCCTACAAATACTTACCTACCCCGGCGCGACTTTCCTTTTGGCCAAGGTTGCCGTATTAGGCTGGACAAGTGTCATGTTCCCGATATTTAATAAAGTGAAGCCCCCACTTTTCCCACCTGAGTCCACCGTCCGTGCACACCACCGGCTCCGTGTGCGGATTTTAGGACACTCACTCTGTATCAGCAAACTTTTACCCGACCTTACACGGCAGACAGGACACGTCTACCCGCTGAGGCCCGGAAGGGGATTCACAGGCCCGAGTTCCATACAACTGCAACCATCGCCTGCGACCCCGTTGTGGGCCCCGTGGTGGGCCCCCCCCCCCCCCCGGCTTAGTAACCTGTAGAACAGCGCGTCGCAAAGGGAACCGAGGTACAAGGACTGAAGGGACCAAGCTCTGGGCGGGAGCTCCATCAGCAGCAGCTGCGCGACCCCGGGCAGGTGGCCGACCCTGTCACCGCCCGAGTGCCCTTCGTCAAAGCAGTCCGGCGGGGCGCGAGAGGCGTCCAGGCCGAAGGAGACGGCGGGACTTCGCACAACCAGCCAGGCCGCGCGGACCGCCTCCCTTCCTGGGCCGGGGGCTGCAGCCCAAGGTCAGCGGGGGCCCGGAGGGACTCCCACCTGCCGCCCGCAGTCCTGCGCCCCGCCGGCCCCCATACCCCGCGCCGAGCAGCCGGCCGCGCCCCCCGCACTCACCTCGGCCCCCGACCCCCAGCTCAGGCCGCCTGGACCCGCACGGCTAACGACGCGGAAAGGTCACCGAGTGCGCAAGCGCCGCGCGGGGTCCGTCGGGAAGGCGGAAGGAGCGGCGGCGCCCCGAGCCCAGAGCGCCTCCCGGGCCGTGTCTGCTCGCCACAGCGCCTCCAGCGGCCGCCCCGGTGCGGCCGGCTGGCGGAGTGCCAGGGGAAGGGGCTGGCCAAGGGGGCCTGGGTGTGTTGTCACGACCAGGTGACTAACGGGTGGGACGTGTCCCGTTGCGGGACTTCCGGTGTAGGGTCCTGGACAAAGCTGAAAGGTGCGTCCACCTGAAAAAGGGGCCGTCTTTATTTGATGTATTAAGTCTGAGAAGTCGTCTCCCGTCTGGTTTTCTTTCTTTTCCCAATGTTTGTTTATAGAGAGAGCGAGCGAGCGCGCGCGAGCGAGCAGGGGAGGGTCAGAGAGGAAGAGGCAGAATCCGAAGCCGACCCAGGCTCTGAGCTGTCAGCCCAGAGCCCAATGTGGGGCTTGAACTCAAGAACCAGAGATCATGACCAGAGCCGAAGTCAGATGCTCAACCTACTGTGTCACCCAGGCACCCTATTTTTTTCTTTTTTAGAGACAAAGAGAGAGCGAGAGGTGGGTAGTGGCAGAGGAAGAGGAAGACGGAGAATCTTAAGCAGGCTCCATACGTAGGGTTTCATCTCACGACTGTGGGTTGATGACCTGAGTAGAAATCGAGAGTAGAGGCTCAACCAATTGAACCAACAAGGTGCCCACCGCTGTTTTCTTGCTATTTCTCTGTGTATTAACTGTTTTGCTCTGCATTTTTTTTTAATTTTTTTTCAACGTTTTTATTTATTTTTGGGACAGAGAGAGACAGAGCATGAACGGGGGAGGGGCAGAGAGAGAGGGAGACACAGAATCGGAAACAGGCTCCAGGCTCCGAGCCACCAGCCCAGAGCCCGACGCGGGGCTCGAACTCACGGACCGCGAGATCGTGACCTGGCTGAAGTCGGACGCTTAACCGACTGCGCCACCCAGGCGCCCCTGTAAACAAGGTGTTTAATAGTTATGGCATTTTTAAAAGAATGCATATTAAATCAGATGAGTTAGACCGTATCCCAGATGTAACAAAGTGCAGGAAAAGAAATGGACAAATCAGCAACAAGATTTGTTTTTAAATCTGTACATTATCCACAAGGCCCAAACAATAGAAGCAAATACTAGAATGTCCCTAAAGTAGTGCCATTCTAAAGAAACCTTTAACAGGTCAGTTAAAACCCGTCTCACAATAGCGACAGTTCATTTTAACGATAGTATGACACAGAACACCTATGAAAAAAATTCATCACAAGACAGCCAAGTCCACAATAATGCAACTTCATATAAAAACTCAAGCTGCAAATAAAAATTGGTCCTATGAAGAACAAACTGGACACACTCCAGATGGTTATGCTGGGATACCTAACGTCCGTAACGGCAGCCTTTTACAATTTTACTAAAGAATAGAGCTGGTGTGCAAAGAGAAAGGAACAAAAATCTGAGCTATTGCAGTGACGGAATGTCCCTGGAGATTCGATCTGTGCGGCTACGGTAAGGTCGTGGGAGGAAGTGCCTTTTGCTCGCGTTTTGCAGTCGCACTCTTCATATAGCTTGTAGACAAAAGGTCTGTCTCTACTCAAGTGCAACAACAATACTAAAAGCAAACTACTGCAGCTTTCAGTAGCTCATCAACAAAAGGGATATTACTTGGTTAAATAAACCAGGCAATGCATAAAAAATGGAAACAAACAAGTTTTCTCAGCAGAAAGCTGGAAATTCTAAAAAAGAAACAAAAACCCACCTGGACAGTCTGAAAAAAAGCCAGACAGAAATTGGGTAGGCTTAGCAGATTAGACAGTTGAAGAATACTGAACTGAAAGCTGCATTAGAAGATACCATTCAGAAGCACAGGGAGACCAAAGAGAAGATGAGAGGGTACAGCAGAAAAGCCCCTCGTATGTCATCTCAGAGGAAAGGAGAGTGAGATGGGGCAGAAAAGCTAGAAGAGGTAATTTTCCAAAAGTGATGGGGAAAAAAAATCCCACCAAAGAATCAGAAAGCCTCACAGAAACCCAGCAGGCTGATAAATGAAAATAGACCAACACTCTGAAATAAACAGAAAATAAATAAAATAAAACCATATAAAAATAAATACCACAGAAAATAAAACCATGGAAAAGTAAAGATGAGAAGATCTTAATTGCCTATCCAGAATTCTACGCATATAGAACTTAGGCTTCAGTAAAGAAGGTGAAATAAAGACATTTTGGATAACCTAAGGCTGAAGGAATGATCGATCACCAGATCTACAGTCCTTACAAAAAAGAATAAAAACCAAACCACTAACGTTCATTACTCAGGCAGAAGGGAAGTGAGCTCAGCTGGAGGGACGAGGACCATGGAAGGAAGAGCAGTGAGCGAGGTCCTGCTTTGAAGGGAAAAAACGCTTAGGATCAAGTGAAAGCTGCATTCACAACTTGGAAACCTTGCTATTTTAGGGTAGTGGTTCTCAAAGGGTGGTTTGGGGGTTTCCAAGGACCTCTGGGTGTCGAAACTATTTTTGTAACAATGGCAAGATGTTATTTGTCTTTTTCACTAGAATTATCTCACAAGTATTCACTGGACTTTTCCAGAGGCTGACTTGTGATGTCACAACAGAATGAATACAGAACAGATATGAGAATCCAGCTATGTTCCGTTAAGGCAGACATTAAGAGATCTACAAAAATGTAAAAGTGTCATTCTTCTCACAGAGTGACTTTTTATAAAAATATTCTCTTTAACATCAAATAGGTTATGGTCACTTAAAAATGGATAAACAAAATGTCTCAGTTGTAATCCCTAATAAAGTAGATGTAACCCACAAAAATGAAAGTCCTCTAGGGTCTTCTTTCATTTTTAAGAGTAGAAAGGGGTCCTCAGAGAAGGACCAGGTTTGAGAACCACTGTCCTAGAAAAAGAATGATTTAGACTATAAAAAGGTAGGAAACAAGCATTTAGGGAAAACTCATGAGTATCATCATAATCTATTTCAAGACAACAAAGCTTTTGAACTTCAAACTCCACTTGAGATCAACAGAATTTTCAGGTCTTTTGTTGCCAATCCAAAACACCCTATGAAAAATACATCTTCAAAGGAAACAAAATGTTTAAAGATAGAGCCACCTCAGCAGATTTATGCAAAGTGCAGAATTGCTGCATTTTGTAGCTGAGAAGGTCAGAGAAGACGTGCAGGTACTTTGGGCACAGCTTCTCCCACTCTGTCAAGAGTGCTGCATAAATGGCATAAATCATTTGTTATCGTCTCGCCTGCATGTTTTCCCTTTGGCTCCGCAGCTCAGGCTGCTCCGGGAATGCACATATGACCTCCGCCAACGCCCAGGGGACTTCCTATGCGCCCTGGTCTAAGTGTCTATAAGCCGATTGAGAACTGTCAAGCTGTCTCTTTCAACTCTGGACAGGAAGGCAAGATGAGCTGGGCTAACTGAGGATGAAGCACCAAGAACTACTGATCAAATGAAGGGGTCAATGTGATTCGGTCTGTGATGACACAGTGTTAAACCAGTAGTCAGGAAATGGCAATTAAATGAGAACAAATTTCTTTTTTTTTTTTTTTAATGTTTTTATTTTTTATTTATTTTTCAGACAGACAGAGACAGAGCATGAACAGGGGAAGAGCAGAGAGAGAGGGAGACACAGAATCCGAAGCAGGCTCCAGGCTCCAAGCTGTCAGCACAGAGCCCGACGCGGGGCTCGAACTCACGAACCGTGAGATCATGACCGGAGCCGGTCGGACGCTTAACCGACTGAGCCACCCAGGCGCCCCCAAATTTCAAAGCTGAAGAAGCATCAAGAGAGCAGTTAGAAGCATCCTTAAACTGTAGTTAAAAACTCAAAACTCAAGGGGCGCCTGGGTGGCTCAGTCAGTTAAGTGTCGGACTCTCGGTTTCGGCTCAGGTCGTGATCTTGCGGTCTCATGAGTTTGAGTCCCACATCAGGCTGTGTGCTGATGGTATGGAGCCTGCTTGGGATCCTTTCTCTCTGCTCCCCCCCCTCCTCACACTGTCTCTGTCTCTTTTTATTTTTTTATTAAAAAAAAATTTTTTTTTCAACGTTTATTTATTTTTGGGACAGAGAGAGACAGAGCATGAACGGGGGAGGGGCAGAGAGAGAGGGAGACACAGAATCGGAAACAGGCTCCAGGCTCTGAGCCATCAGCCCAGAGCCTGACTCGGGGCTTGAACTCACGGACCGTGAGATCGTGACCTGGCTGAAGTCGGACGCTTAACCGACTGCACCACCCAGGCACCCCTGTCTCTGTCTCTTTTAAAATAAGTAAATAAACTTAAAAAAAAATCCCTCAAAACTCAAGAGGACTGAAAGAGATAGCAACCCAAAAGGTGCAAAGAACATAGAAAAGGACTTCCAATCACCTTACACCCGTTAGAATTGGCTAAAATAAAAAAGACAAGAAACAGCAAGTATTGGTGACAGAAACACTTGGAGAAAAAGGAATATGCTTGATCACTGTTGCTGGGAAGGTAAATTGGTGCGGCCACTGTGGGAAGCGGTATGGAGGTTCCTCAAAATATTAAAGATAGACATACCGTATGATCCAATAATTCCAATATTGGGTAATGATGCCCCCAAACCCAAAACCACAAATTCAAAAATATATCTGCACCCCTACGTTTATTGCGGCATTTTTACAACAGCCAAGGTATGGAAGCAAACCAAGCGTCCATTGATAGCCAAAAGGAAAAGGAAGATACACACAACGGAATATCAGCCCTAAAAAGGATGAGACTGTGCCATTTCCAACAACGTGGCTGGACCTAAAGTGTATTATGCTCAGTGAAAGAAGTCAGACTGAGAAAAACAAATACATGATTTCACTTATATGTAGAATCTAAAAAAAAAAAAAAAAGAAGAAACCAACAAAAAGCAGCATCTGACTTATAAATGCAGAGAGCAAACTGATGGCTGCTAGAGGGAAGGGGGGATTGGGCAAAATGGGTAAAGGGGAGCGGGAGATACAAGCTTCCAGCTATCGAATGAGTAAGTCATGGGAATGGGAGGCGCCGCATAGGGAACCGAGTCAATGATACCATAATAGCGCCTCATGGTGACGGATGGTAGCTGCAGCAGCGGTGAGCACAGCATAATGTATAGAGTGTTGAACTGCTGTGTTCTACACCTACGCCTCCGCCATTGACCGTTGACTATAGTCAGATAAAAACAGAACAAGCCCGCTCTTCCAAAAAAAAAAAAAAAAAGAGCAACTTCCACTTGAAACATCCAAGCAACATCCACCGTGTCACAGACAAGGGATGAGAGTGTGGGAACCGTAACGTACTAGGAAACACAAATGTGAGTTTCAGTCGTTCCAAGTGGTTTCGATGCATTTGGGGAGATTTAGAACACGTTTTAGCCTTCACATAAACTATGAAGTTACAGTGTTTTTTAGTCAACGCTGAATAACGTCTGAAAAGTCTCAATGACTTTGTGATTACATTCTTATTTATTGAAAAACAGGTTCTTTCCCATGGCCAAAAAGTGCGTGGGCGAGGGGCACCTTTTGCAGGCTGCTGTGTTTGGAAATGTTAGAACGGGAAGCCCAGAGCTCATAAATATAAACTAGTGGTGTCATCAGGATTTGGACTTAGGACCCCTGGCTCAGTACCTTGCTGGGCTCATTGTTCCTGAAACGTGGAGAGCTCAACCCCCAACCAGTCTGACCGCTGTCTGCACTGCTCTCAAGCTGACCTCTATTCGCCACTCTTTGAGCATTTTCCAGTCCTTAACTCGACTTCACAACGTTGGTCAGCACTACGCTCCTGATGTCTTCCACCTACTCATTCACACGTGTCTTTCCGGAGAAAAGAATGGAATGATGGCCGGCAGGCAATCATGCCACTTTTCTTGTTCTCCGTGCCATCTCCCTGCCTTTGTAGATCTTTGCTGGATTCCCCCACCTCTGCCTCATCTTTCAGGCTGTTTCCTAGGGTTCTGTCCTCCACCTTCATTCTTCTAGTGCTCGGCCTGGGCCATTTCAGCTGTTCTCAGGGTCTTAACCACCGTTCATTTGCTGATGACCACCAAATCTGTACCTCTGGCCACCTCTTTCCATCTAGCCGTGTGCAAGACACCGTACCCCAGATGCAGGTTTAGGAAAGAAGGAGAGGAATTTAGTCATGTTGTGGCCCAAGAGAACTTCTTCCAAGCCTGCGGTTCAGGCCTTAGTGGCATGTGCCTTCAGGCCTCCGCCCATGGAGTACGTTCCCTGTGAGTCTTCCCTCTGCAGTCGTTCTTCACCTGCCTCGTTCCTGGTTACCCTGCAGATGTCCACTTTGGGGTCACTTTCTCCTAGAAATCTTTCCTGACCTTACTTCTGTTCCCCAGGTAAGGTGCAAGGTGTCTCAGTTCAGCAGCCAGCTGTTTACCTGGACAATATACACTCAACCCCCTCCTCCCGTTTGCCTTCCATCTCCCACCTTGAGGTCTCCCAGCGTGGTACCCCGGCAGCTCTGCGCCGAGCCTGGCACACAGCAGGTGCTCCATCAATGTCTGGCCTTTCTCGGCCTGGAGCGCCAAGCCGCGGACGTAACCGCCGAGGGAACTGTGGAGAGCAAGTCAAGACCAAATTCTTGCACCTCCTGGATCCGCTGATGCCCCGGCCCAGGCCCCTAAAACACAGAGCAGCTTCGAGGGACTCACCTCGCCGACTCGGGGGCCGTCGCAGTGGCTCAGGCGTTCCCCAACGAGCGGAAGAGCGACGCTGCCGACGGCGCAGGCGCTGGGCTGCCAGCGCTCCCAACAGGCCTAGCGCGGCGCCGAGGGGCGGGGCCGGCAGCACGAGGTTCCGCCGTGTGAGCGCTGGCACATCCTGATTGGAGGGCCTGGGCGGGGCGGGGCCGCGTTCCCGCCGTGCCCGGACGCGCCTTCGCGTTCTTGGTGTCGTCTGTTCCCGCCGCTCCGCTGGGCAGTTGAGGTGGCGTCGTCGCCGTGCCGGGAGCATGCTGCGCAAGCTCACCGTCGACCAGATCAACGACTGGTTCACCATCGGCAAGACCGTGACGGATGTGGAACTGCTGGGCTCACCGCCCGCCTTCCCGGCCGAGGCGGCCAGGGACGAGGCGCAGCGCAGGGACGCGCCCCCCGGCTTCGGCCCAGCAGCTGGGGCCCAGCCGGCAGCGTCCGGGAGGTAGGAGGCCGAGGGTGGGTGCGAAGCCCAGGCCCGGCCAGGGGTGGGAGCGAGGCCGGCAGTGGGGGAGCGTCTGGGGGTTGGTGTGAGGCCCGAGCCCTTGCTCCTCCCCAGACTCTCCATGACTACGTCCCTGGCCCCCGGCTGGACCACCCCGTGACCTAGGCCTGGTTAACTCTCCTGGAAGTTGAGCCACTCCAGAATTAGGTTCACTTTTTAACTTTTTTTTTTTTTTAACTAATAAGCTATTTTTGAGAGCAGTTTACATTTACAGAAAAGTTGAGCATAATCCCAAGTACCTTCTTCACCCCCGCCAACGTTTCCCTGTTGTTAATGTCTTTTTTTGCGTGTCATTGTACAAGTGACGAGCCGATGTGGATACGTTATCGTTAACCAGAGTCCGTAGTGACGATGAGGGTTCAGTCTTAGTGTTGTGGTCTGTGGTTGTGGACAGGTGTATGAACCTGTATCCACCACCATACAGAATAGTTCCACTGCCTTTTGTGCTCTGCCTCTTTACCCCCTCCCTCTCCCCCCCAACCCTGGCAACCACTGATCCTTTCACTATCCGTAGTGTTGCGTTTTCCAGAGTGTCTTATAGTTAGAATCAGGCCTGTTTAGCCTTTTCAGATCTGCTACTTTGATTTTGTAATATGTGTTTAAGTTTTATCCATGTTTTTTCATGGATTGGTAGCTTTTTTCCTTCTTTTTTTTTTTTTCTTTTTTCTTTATTTTTGAGACAGGGAGAGACAGAGCATGAACAGGGGAGGGTCAGAGAGAGGGAGACACAGAATCTGAAACAGGCTCCAGGCTCCGAGCTGTCAGCACAGAGCCCGACGCGGGGCTCCAACTCATGGACCGCGAGATCATGACCTGAGCCAAAGTCGGCCGCTTAACCGACTGAGCCACCCAGGCGCCGCCTTTTTTTTTTTTTTTTTTTTTTTTTAAACACGTGTTGAATGATATTCCATTGTCTGGATGTACCACAGTCTGTGCATTTACCTACTGAAGGATGCTGGTGGCTTTCAAGTTTTGCAGTGATGAGTAAAGCTGTGGTAAACATTTCTGGCAGGTTTTTGTGGGTCAAACGTTTTCAGTCCATTTGGGTGAATACCAAGGAGCTGGAAAGCTGGATCTTCGTTCGGTTTTATGAACGCTCCTTCTCCCACTATTTTTTTTTTTTTTAACTTAAGCAACTGTTCTTGGTTCCTCTGTTCACATGATTTTGGTGGAAATAAAAAGGCAAGAGGAGGGCATCTGTTTTTAGAAGACCCAGCGTGGTGTACCGAAACACCTGTTCCCTCTATAAAGCGGGCCACTATGGAAACACTCCCATCTTGGAGTGTCTGTGTCAGTGCTCGGACCCCCCCCCCCCCATATTCAACACCTTTTTCAGTTGAGAGGGTGGTTTTTGTTTTTTAGTTTTTTATTTTTATTTGTGATGTTTATTTATTTTTGAGAGAGAGACAGAGCACGAGCTGAGGAGGGGCAGAGAGAGAGGGAGACACAGAATCTGAAGCAGGCTCCAGTCTCTGAGCTGTCAGCACAGAGCCCGACGCGGGGCTCCAACTCATGAACGGTGAGATCATGACCTGAGCCGAAGTCGGACGCTTAGCCGACTGAGCCACCCAGGCGCCCCAGTTTTTTAGTTTTTGAGAAACTTTCTCTTGTTGGTTGGCCCCGTCAGGTTTTCATGGGATTGCTTCAAGCCTCTGTAGACAAGCTTCAAGCCTTTGCAGAGTCAAGGACTACTTGGGATCTTTAGTAAACCTGTTCTTGGAGGCGGGGAGGGGACAAAGAGACCCTTGTGCAGCTTTAGAGTGGCTTTTTTGTTGCTGCTTTTGTACTTTTTCCCCTTGAATTGCTCTAGTGAGTAATCCTATAGGCTACCCTCTCTCCTTAAGCCTCCTCTGCTTGTAACGGGCAGAGCTGTGTTGCTTCTAAATAACTTATTGTGGTAGTGGATGTAAATTATTATTGCCCTTTTCAGAAACTAAAAGTATAGATTTAAATGTTATAACTACTGAGGACCAGTTGTTACAGTTTCCAGTCTTGGTGGATTAAGACTTTGAAAAATCAATAAAAATGAAATTTCAGAGTAATGGAATGGAAAAAAGAAAATACAAGCCCCACTTAAAATATTAATTATAATTATCAAGTAAAATTACTTTGTAAAATTGCCATAAACGTTTCAACTTCTGTATGTAGCTAGAAATAGGCAAATAACATTGAGATTTGTTTGTGTAGTGCTTTGAGTCTGAGCAGTACTTCCCTGAAAGGCCCTTCCTGGGCCCTTACCACGTGCATATCTAAGGCGGAGGCTCTGCTGTGTAGTGGGCACTCAAATACAGCTACGTTATTTAGTCCTTGAAATAACCCCCTGAGATTGATGGCAGTAACTTAATTTTGTAGTTGAGGAAACAGACTTGGGTGGTAAAGTGCCTTGCCCAATAACTTCCTGAAATAAATAGTCACGGTAGGTAGAAAGAGCCTCTACCCCCCTCCAAAGATAACCACGGGACCCTGTGACTGTGTTCTGTTACAGGAAAGAGGGATTCTGCGGATGTAACTAAGGTTATAGATTCTAAAATAGGGAGATTACCTGGATTGTCTAATGACACGAGCCCTTAAAAGCAGGGATTTGAAACACGAGAGGGACTCGACCAGTTGGTGTTAGACAGGACCGACCACAAAGGAAGCAGGAGAAGAATGTGGACAGCTAGGAGCAAAGATGGGATCCCGGCTGACGGCCAGCAGGGAAACAGGGACCTCTGTCCTACAACTTCAAGGAACTGAATTTGGCCAACGACCCTGAATGAGCCTTTGGTAGTGAACGCAGTCCTGCCAACACCTTGATTTTGGCCTTACGGGACTCTAAGCAGAGGACCTACTTGTGTCCACCTGCACTACTGATTGACAGAAACTATGAAATAATCAATTTGTGTTGTTTTGAACTGCTGGATTATTGATAATTTGGTATGGCAGCAACAGGAAACTGATACAGTGGTAGACCTGGGGTTGATGTAGGGTGAGCTGACCATAAAGGCACCCTCTGCCCCGTGGCAGGCACACAGCTGATGCTCAGATACTTGTTGACTGAGGTCTTTCCAGAAAGGAGAGTTTGAATGAGGTTTTGATGTTGGTGAGAAAACATCTGACATAGAGGAAGACAGGTTTTGAAATATAGGATAGCCCACAGTGAAACTGTATTTGGGAGGGACGATCAGGGTACGATCAGTGTGCGTTGAATCTCTGGAGTCCAGTCCACGAGAGCGTTGTTAAACCAGCTTCATGAGTCATGTGAGTAATGACTACCGGCATTAAAAATAAAGAAGAGAAGTAGAAAACATGAGACTCTTTGGCACCTCCAAATGTACGTTGTCCCAGAGAAAGCTTTCCCATAGAAACTCCCCATTTCAAATCACCTATCTGGTGATTCCTTTTACCTAATTCAGTTTTCCCTTCTCGGTATCTCTCAGGTAAGTTGAGTGCCCACTGTGTTGAGCACCGCGTCAGGTGACAGGAAGCACAGCAGTCTGTCCTTCCGACAGACGAGGGAGGTCCCATTTTATAGCTGAGGATCAGCTAAGTTGAGAAACTGATCCCCGTCCGCCTATTTATTATGTGGTAGGATGGCTGTCTGACTCCAGCATATGTTACTTTTCACTTCTCGCTTGTTGCTTTTCGGTATGTAGGCTTTGCACACGTTACTGTGTGTACGTGTTATCCTCCGGGAGTTGCGGTTTTCTGTTGACCACAAAAGCCGTGCTTTTTAAAGACCTTTTTGTCCGTTTACAGATTTAGTTTGTTAGGCCCCTTTCCCATGAATTACAGTGTTCTCTATGTAATTCAATGCCCCGGAGGGGAGTGGCTGAGAGAGAGAATAGGGGAGCTCTGGGGGCACGGAGCTGGGTCCACGATTATCTCTGAAACCACGAAGGACTCTGCTGCTTCATCTGAGGCTACTGGGGGGCCATTGGAAGGCACTCTGGGGTTTTGACCAGAGCTGTGGGGTGATGTGACTTCTGGCTTTAACATGATCACTGCTGTGTGGAATGGACTGCAGTGGGCCCAGGGCGGTAACAGGGGATCAGGGAAGAGTCCATTAATATCATCTGTGACATCACTTTAGATGTCAGCTTGGCTGGACAGTTGTGCTAATATTTGGCCCAACATGATTTAAAAAAAGCTTTTTTTAAAAAATGTGTATTTACCTTAGAGACACAGCGTGTGAGAGGGGGAGGGGCAGACAGAGAGGGAGACACAGAATCCGAAGCAGGCTCCAGGCTCTGAGCTGTCAGCACAGAGCCCAATGCGGGGCTCAGACCCATGAACCTCGAGATCGTGACCTCAGCCAAAGTTGGATGCTTAACCAGCTGAGTCACCCAGTGCCCCTGGCCCAACATGATTCTGGATGTTTCTATGGAGGTGCTTTTTGGATGAAACGAACATTTAAATTGATAGATTTTGAGTAAGGCAGATTACCTTCCAAATTGTGGGTGGGCCTCATCAGATCAGTTGAAGACCTGGCTAGAACAAAGATTTACCTCCTAAAACAAGAAGGAATTCTGCCAAGTCCCTTCAGACTCGGGCTGCAACTCCTTCTCAGGTTTCCAGTCTGCTGGCCTAGCCTGCACATTTTGGACTTGTGTCTCTACAATCTCATGAGCTAATTCCTAAAAGTAAATCTCTCTTTCTCTATACACATCTGTTGGTTTAGTTTCTCTGGAGAATGCCCGCTAATACATCATCTAAGAAGAGAGGATGGTGGGTTAGACCAGGACTGTGGCATTGGAGGCGGTAAGCAGTATGCAGTTTGGATGTACTCCTAAGACACAAGCGAGGACTTTGTAGCTGGATCAGATACAGAACACGAGTGGGGAAGCGATAACGGGGACACCAAGGTTCTTGGCCGAGCAGCTGGAATGTGTTGCCATCGACGGAGAAAGGCAGGACCACGGGAGGAGCTGGTGTATGGGGAGACTTCTGATTTGGACGTG